AAAATACACACATATACATACATATAGTGTGTATGTGTATGTGTGGGGTGTGGGTGTGGGTGTGGGTGTGCATGTGCCATGGGGTTCACATAGAGATCTGAGGAGTCAGTTCCTTCCTTCCACCACTGGAGCTGGGGATTTAACTCAGGTAGTCGGGCCTGCATAGCAAGTACTTTTACGAGCTGAATCATAACTGCCAGTTCATTTTTAAATTTGTTTTGTTTTGTTGGCCCAATTTTATCAGTTAAAGAACATTGTGAGTAGGTTGTAGTGGCACACACTTGTAATTCTAGCACTTGGGATGCAGGGACAGGAAGATGACAAGTTTGATCCTGTGTCAACAAGCAAAACCACAAAACATTGGCGGAACCACTTGCGTGTGTGTGTGTGTGTGTGTGTGTGTCTGTCTGTCTGTCTGTCTGTCTGTCTGTCTGTATGTGTCTATGTGTTTGTGTCTCTGTGTCTCTCTGTGTTAATGTGTCTGTTTCTGAGTGTGTCTGTATGTGTTTTGCTGGGGATGGAGCTCAGGGCCTTATACATATTAAGCAAGCACTCTACCACTGAGCTGCATCCAACACCCCTTTTATGCACCACTCTGTATCAACCCACATATGTTAGCCTCGTGATTTCTTCAACTGAGCAATCGGCTTACTATGCACACTCTGTGATTATTTAGCCAGCTTTCCATTGGTGAAGATCCAGGTTGTTTTCGTGTTTTGATCTTGGGGGAATAGTCCAAAGCACCCTTGTATATATAGGTCTTTGATCATACATGTGAGCCTGTTTTGAGGATAAATTCCTAGGAATAGAGTTTCTTCACCAGAGAGAATGTACCCGTAAACCTCTGCAGAGCCACTGCCAAATCAGCCTTCCCAAAGCCCAAACCGATGCAAACTCTCTCTGAACCTTTGGCTGAACTGGCTGGTTTCACACATCTGGCCTTTTTGTTGCCAGTCCAACAGACGAACCCCAGCAGACTGCCCCATCGTAGGCTTTACACGCTTGAAATACGTGAGTGAGCTTGGGAGGGTGAGACCCTGCATGATTAAAAAACAATCTGCCGTTCTTTTTCTTCCAACTCTGATAGGCTTTCTGTTGATTTCTTTTTCTTTAATAGTAGGAAGTCTCTCTCTCTCTCTCTCTCTCCTCTCTCTCTCCATCCCTCCCTCAATCCCTCCCTCCTCTCTTTTTCCCACCTCCCTCTTTTCCCCCCTCCCTCCTTTCCATCCCCCCCTTCTCTCTTTCTCTTTCCTTCTCTCTGTTTCTGTCTCTCTCTCTGTCTCTGTTGTCTCTTTCTCCCCTGTGCTGGGAATTGAATCCAGGTCTTTGTGCATGTTATGTGAGCCCTCTACTACTGATCACTTGCCTAGCCCATAAGAATTTTATTAATGTAATATAATATAATATAAAATATAATATAATATACATATATTCATTATGTAAACATAGTCCCCCAGTTGATTTGGTTTAGTTTTTGTACAGAAATTTAAAAATTAATGTAGTTAAATGTATAACCTCAGAAAACTTATTTATTGTTTATTTGAATCAGGGTCTCATGTAGCCTAGGTTGGCCTTGAGCTCACTTTGTTCTGGAAGGGTGGCTTTGAACTTGCAATCCTCCTTCCACCTTACAAGTGCTGAGATTATAGGCACCAGCCACTGACCTGGTTCAGCTCTTGTATTTAATTTTACGTTTTGAACCATCTGTAGTGTTATGGTATGGGTCTTATTTTTCCTAAATGCCTAACTAACTTTGGTGAATAAAATCTTTGATTTAAGATGTCACCTTTATCACAAGCTAAACTTCCAAACATAGCAGAGACAGCTGTGGCTTCTTCTCCCCCTAAACTGACAGTGTGTGTGGCAGCAAGCCCTTCCCACAGCTTCTGTACTCCTGTTTGACCCAGCTCCCCATCCTCACCTAGCTTTGCTGCTGACCAGTGGCTTCTACTGCTCTCCCCTGCCCATGCCCTCTCCAAGTCCTCTTATTTATTCTTTGTTCTTTTAAAAAAAATATATTTTAGTGTCTGTGTATATGTGTGGGAGGTGGTGGAGAGTGCACATGCTCAAGTGCATGCATGCCAAGGCCAAAGGAGCACATAATTGTTCTCCAGTTTATTTTTTGAGACAGGGTCTCTCACTGAACCTGAAGCTCAATGTTTTGGCTAAACTAACTGGCTGGTGAGCTCCCAGGATCCACTTGTCTCTGACCCCAACCCCCCAGTGCTGGGATTACTGGCACACATAGCTGTGCCTGGATGCTGGGGATCTGAACTCATGTCCCTATGCTTGCACAAGCAAGTACTCTTACCCATCAAGTCATCTCCCACAGCCCGTGTGTGTGTGTGTGTACATACACACACATATATATATACATATATAACACACACACACACACACACACACACACATATGCTCCATCATCAACTATCCCCTCACAATCTCTGCCCTTTTATAACAAATTTACCAATGTTTACAGATGAAAGGACAGTTGGTACCTTCATGACAGTGAGTCTACTTTCTGAGAATGAGCTCAGCCCTTCATTTATTCAAGGCTCCTGTAATGTCCCTCGGTGTTGTTCTGCAGTTTTCTTTATAGGAATTTCACATGGTCATTATTCTTTGGTTCTAAGATGTTTTAATCAGCTACAATTTAGAATTGTCTTCTTGTTTTGTGAGCACTCTTGTAGATGCACAAGAAGGTATTGGCTCTGTTTGTTCAATTTTCATGAGCCTGCTGGCTGCTCGTTGATTGTTTGGAGTGGTTTCTCACCTTGGCAACCTGGCGTACATCATGGAACGGTGATGATCACATTATTTCCTCTACAAGAAGTTTGCTTTGGAGCCCAGTGAGACAGCTCAGCAAATAAAGGCACTTGCCTTGCAAGCCTGGCAACCTGAGTTTGATCCCTGGAATCCAAGCAAAGGTGCGAGGAGAGAATCAATTCCACTTATTTGTTCTCTGACCTCTACATGCGCACCATGGCATGCACTCCCTACATCATGCACATACACAATAATAATAATACACAAATACAAATTTTTATGGGTACGTGTCTGTGTGTGGATATGTAGATGTGAGTGCAGGCAACCATGGAGCATGGAAGAGGGTGTCAGATCCCCTGGAGTGATAGATGGTTGTGAGATGCCCGATGTGAGTGCTGGAAACTGAACTCTGGTCCTCTGCAAGGATAGTACATACTCTTAATTGCTGAGCCATCTCTCTAGCTTCCTTAAAGATTTATTTTTATCTATATGTGTGTGTGTGTGTGTGTGTGTGTGTGTGTATGTGTGAATGTGCATTTGTGAGTAAAGATGCCCATGGAGTCCAGAAAAAGGCATCAGATCCCCTGATGCTGGAATTACAGGCAATTGTGAGCTGTTCTTAACCATTGAGCCATCTCTCTAGCTCCATAAATCATTTTTTAAAAGTTTCCTTTTTTGTATATATGTGCATGATGTTGAATGGATGGGTATGGGTGTGCAAATATACATGTGCCATAGTATACATGTGAGTCAGAGGACAATCTTGGCTGTTGGTCCTCATTTTCTACCTTGTTTGAGGCATGATCACTTTGTTGTTTGCCACTGCGTATGTCAGGCTAGCTGGCTTGCCTGTTTCCAGGGTTTCTCTTTCTCTGCCTCTTGTCTCCTCATAGGAACACTGGGATTACAGACATGTACTGCTGTCCCCAGGTTTTGCTTATGTTTTGGGGTTCAAACTCAGATCCTCATGCTTGTGTAGCAAGTGCTTTTCCACTGAACTGTCTCCCCAGCACCCCAAGTTTTCTCTATGACTAACACCACCATCACTGTGACCATCGCACTTCCCTGATCAGGCAGACAGAGCATGATCACCTTTATTGTCTGGATGGTTCTTTATACTTCTGGGCTGTTATCCTGGAGGCTTCATCCAAAGGAAGACTGGCATGAGGAGCTCAGAGCTGGGCAAGGCAAGGCTACCTGCCTAGTGCAGATGGGAAGCACTGGCTGGGCATCAGTAGGCAGACAGTCCACTGCCATAGGTAAGTTCAAGAATCACAAAATATATCAGCAGTGAGCCCTGTCCAGTGTAGTAGGAGCAGAGGCAGAGCAGAGGGACTTGCTGGATTTATTAGCATCACATTGAACCCTGTCTAAGCTGTGTCATCTGAGCAGTAATTTAGTGTGTGTGTGTGTGTGTGTGTGTGTGTGTGTATGTGTGTGTATGCTTGTACAGGTAAAGACCAGGTTCACCTTGAGTGTTATATCTCACAGTACCATCCACATCATTTATTTTGAGGCAGGGTCTCTCACTGGCCTGGATCTCACCAACATGGCTAGACTCTGTGACCAGTGAGCTCCAGGGACCCTTCTGTCTGTCCTGGCCAGTGCTGTGACTGATGAGTGCTGCTGCACAGGGATTTTTTATGTGGGTTCTGGGGATCAGACTCAGGCCCTCTTACCTGTGTGGTGAGTACTTTACCAGCTGAACCATCTCTCCAGCTCTTGAGTAGGAATTTCATTTCTTATCTTTACAAATAGGGGAAAGCTGCGCTCCTCTCACAGGGGAGTATTTGTGAAGTGCCTCTGCCATGCCTGGCATGGCACTGGGATTAGTTTCCTCCTCCAGTAAAGCAATTTTGAACCCTGTTTCTTTCTGCTAATTACATCAGTTGTTACCTCTCAAGCCATGCCAGGAAACAGCAGGATAACGGGCTTTTCTGCCTCTTTCCTGCACTAATAGGCAGCTTCTAGCACACAGGTTTTTGTTTTCATGAGTTAAGAGGCATGTATCGCTATTTGTCTTTCTTTGTCCGATTAAGGAACTAGCCATTGATTTCTAATTTAAGGGGGTGTTTTTGTTTAACCAGGAGTTTGTATTGAATTTTCTTGATGCCTATTCAGCCAGGCCTGTGGTCATCAAGACAATTTAATTCTTCCCTAGTCTGGGTCACAGCTCCTGTCTTCAGTTCCCTCCTTCTTAATGGTGATTTAAACTTCTGGTCCTTTCTCTGCAGGGTTTGCAGTCTTGGCTTCTGCCTCACATTACTGGCCACTGGAAAATGTGGACGGAATCCGTGAACTTCAGGATACAGCTGGAGGTAGACTCGGGTGGTGAGAATACCTGCAGGCATGGGAACAGATGGCTCCCAGGGCCTGGGAGGAGAGAGGGAAGGAGACAATGCAGCCAGGACTTTGGGGAAGAGTGAGCCCTAGATGGCTCACTGATGGTTATTTCAAAGTGTTTTGTGAGAACATTAATACATTATTGATTGAAGGGCAGAATCCCTAAACCTTAATACAGAACTTTTTGCTATGGTACGAGTCTAGGTACATGCTACCACAGGGCAATCTGAGGTAGGTACTGTGGGTTGTCAACTGGGACAGACTCACTTGTTATAGAGTCACAATTTCACACAGCAAGGGTGTCCCTTGTCTACCAAGCACTTATCTACACAGCTAAGAGGCTCTCCTTGGTGCCAGCCCCACAGAAATCATCAGGATCTCTTGTCCCCCTGAACTTGTTCAATGCCAGCAGGAGAAACCTGGGAAAGCCCTGAGCACTTTGCATTCTAACAAGAACTCTTTTTAAATATTAATTTGGAATGATTTCCAGTGCCTTCCACTTTATTTTTATTTACTTATTGCTCTTGAGGATGCCAAATGACCAATGTACTTATGTTGTTACTCTGTGTGTACATCGGTTCCCATGCAACACATGCAAAATACTGCTGGTGTCCATGCTGTCAACCCCAGAGCCCTGGCATTCTCCTTATTACTGTGATTTAATGTGCAGGAGGGAACCTCCCAAGAAGGTTCTAAAATGTTTTCTTAAAACTTTCAAAGCCAGGGGCTGGTGAGATGGCTCAGTGGGTAAAGACACTTGCTGACAAGCCTGATGACTTAAATTTGATCCCTGGGACCCACATGGTAGAAGGAAAGACTCACAGGTTGTCTTCTAACCTCTATATGTGTGCCATGCCCCCATTCTCACACACAAATAAAATAAATAAATAAAGACTGTGGAAATGGCTCAGCTGGTAAAGGCACTTGCTGTCAAGCCTAACAACCTGAGATCAATCCCTAGGACCCACATGGTGGAAGGAGAGAACAAACTCCTGCAAAAATAAATAAACACATTTTAAAAATATTCAGGGCTGGAGAGATGGCTCAGCAGTTAAGAACAGTGTTCTTTCAGAGAACCCAGGTTTTGCTCCCAGCACTCATCCTGTGGCTAAGAACTATCTGTAACTCCAGTTTCAAGGGATCCATTGCCCTCCTCTGCCCTCCAAGGACATTGCACTCACATGGTGCACCTACATATATGCAGACAAAACATTCATACACAAAATAAAAAGAAATAAATCCAAATTTTTTTGTCTTTTTGAGACAGTGTCTCCCTGTAGCCCCAGCTGTCCTAGAACTCACTATGTA